AGCTCCGACATAAGGTACACTTGGAAAGTCTAGGATTTGTCATTCAAAGCGATGGCATATATTCCTCGGTGAGCCTAAATGTACTAGATGCTCTTGAGCCGCATCAATACCTGAATGAGTTGGTAATTGAGAACTATTTGGGCTCCCGACTTTCGGACTGGGTTGTATCCAAATGAAGAATGTGGAGATCGTAGAAACTCAGTACTTGTCTTCCTTTTTCCCTCTAGGAAGTTTGCCTCGCTCAACCATATGGACTTTCCCATCAGCTTCCTCTACTTGAAAAAACGAAAGCATTGTTAAACTATTGAAGTACTCTCTCCCTTTAAGTTCCATGCTACCATCACCTCTGTCTGAGCTCAAGCTCAGATAACCCAAGGCCATCCAACATTGTATTAGAGTATACACCAAAATGTAAGAATCCTTAGGAAAGATGCCACAATAAGAAAAGCAGTGTCTAAGGGGTGGACACAATTCGTTATAGCCTTAAACCAAATGTGGGTAAAGATCAACTTATGCGTCGTGCAATTCCCAGATTTCTTATTTATCACATTCTTCCACTCCTCCAAGCTACTTTTAAAACGCAATAGGATTCCCAAGACCCTTGCCGCAAGTGGTAAGCCGTCACACGTACTTGCAATACACTTACCAGTATCCCATAGCTTCGCTCGTTCAGGTTCCCTCCTACCAAAAAATGCTATGCTGCTCAATATTTGCCAACAATCTTCATCCGGGAGCACTCCTATATTTTGAATATCTTCTTGAAGACAATCTGGCATTCTTGCGACCCTTTATTTCCGTGTTGTCAATAGAACTTTACTACCATGACAACCAAATCTGAGAATGTTTTTCAGGGTATCCCATTGTGAAAGGTTTACCTCCCATACGTTATCCAACACTAGGATAACTTTCTTTCTGAAATCATCTCTTTCAGGGATTCTAGCATGGAATCCAATTGTCCCCCTCGTGGACACGCGTCCTTCAAGATCCATTTGGCAATCTCTGCAGCATCAATGGAATGTGAATCACATATCCAGAATTTCAATTCGAAGTATTATTGAACCCGTGCATCATTATAAGTTAATTGAGCAAGGGTCGTCTTTCCAATTCCGCCTACCCCAATTAGAGACACAACTTGGAGGCTTAATCTTTCACTACCATCAACATGCATCAATTTCTCGATAATAGTTTCCATATTATCCATGTCCCAGCCACGAACTTCACTTACATCGATAAACGACGTAGATTGAAATTGCCATGTTGTATTACGAGAATCATTATTAATGGGATGATCTCTTATGAATTCATATCGAACTCTCCCACTCAAAATTTGACCAAGGACTTCTTTCGCATTTCTTATTTTCTTGAACCCACCAGAGCAAATGAAACCTGCATATTAGAGGATGAACATGTGTTAGGAAGGAGAAATTCATCTTCCTATGCCATTATTTTTTGTCACATATTCAAATTAGTCCCTCACATCTTGAGTTTTCTCCAATTTCACCCTTCCATCAATTTTCTGGTACAAATTCCACAAGAAAAAATATAACTTTCCCAAAACTTTCTATGTACAACAAGACAAAAATTTCAATCTTGTTCATCTTCATTCAATACTTTTTTTTAACTTTGAAATAACTTACATTGTCGAATACTAAAATTCTAATTTATGATTATTTTGAAAAAATAATCGATCAAGATCTGAATGATAAAATGATTCATATCTTTTTATTTGATTTAATAAATAAAATAATTACAAATATTCCATAAAACAATTCCTGAAGTTGTATTTATTATTTATCATACTAATATTATTATATCTCTATTTCATCACTATCGATTAAGGTTTGTAAATTTTAGATTTCATCTTAATATTTCATTTTAATTTCTAAGATTCTTAGTTTTGATTTTTTTTCTCAAATCATTGATCCATTAGTCTAATTTCACCATATAGTATAATCTCTATTTTATAAATGGGACTTAATTTACGGACACCCCATTTTTTTTTAGAAAAACGGATACGTGGAGAAATTGAATTAGATTTTAAACGAGTTTTAACTGGAAAAGGTGTTTATTTAGAGTTATAGTATGTGGACAATGAAATTGTTGTTTTTTTCTTCATATTTATTTATTTCTCTCACTACTGCTTGTCTTCTTCTCTTTCTTTTTTTCCCCTTACTTTTTTTCCTTTTTTACTTCAAATAAAAATAATTCTCTTTCGTGTAACACATAAACTAAATTAGTGTTGTTTATTTTATTTTTATGATAATTCCTCCTTAATTTAGCAAATACTATGATGATACGTAAGATCCAATAATTTTTAAACATATTCGAGTATATATATATATATACATTCACATTTCAGATGTTTTTACGTAATTCATATTTTCAGGCTAATTTGATCATAATATATAATAATTTATACATGAATTATCATAAACAGCAAATAATACTTTTATTTTTATACATTTTCTCATCCACTTCTCAATTAATTTCACTTTACATAATTAAATTAAAAAAAAAAAAGAAAAAAGAAAAAAGAAAGTACATGGATCTTACACTAGTGTAGAAGAAGCAGTCCCAAGTGCTGAGAAAATAATTCCTCGGTGCAGTGGCAAGATGATTAGGATTTAGGACAGTGCCAATTTCTGGGTGCAGCTGAAGAGGGGATTGAAGAACAACACACAAAAGACAATGATAGAAGAAATTAAATGATGCGTATTGATGCACTCTTTCTCTTATATATAGTGGGAGTCAAAAGAAAAAAAGAAAAAAAGAAAAAAGGAAAAAAAGAAAAAAAAAAAAAAGAGAAAAGAAAAAGTAAAAGTAAAAAAAAAAAGTGAAAGGAAAAGGAAAAGTGAAGTTAAAAGGAAATGCTGATAATACTACTTTTATACGACTTTTTCATATTCTTTGATTACCGGTAATTGTGATTCTACACCCGGTGGTTATCATCGGGTGTGCATCCTTCCGATACGTGTCCTTTAATTTTATGTTTTAATTGATTTTATAATTCTAATTTTGATTTGCCTTTTCTAAATTATAACCATATTTAACCAGTGTTCTAAATATCGGTTGTGGCGGCCGATATATCGGCTGCCATATCGGTGGCGGACACAAACCTTTACGATATTTGTGTGACGGTTTTGAAAATCGTTTTTTTTTATGGTGAGGCGGTCCGAGGCGGTCTGTGGCGGTCTGTGGCGGGTCAAACCGATATATCGGGTCAAACTTCGAGCGATATATCGAAAAAATATTTTTTTTCTAATTTTTTTCTATTTTTTTTATTACAAGGAAAATAAGGTGTTTATTTATTTATTTTTTCAATTCCAACTCATTATCTATTTTAATCAAACCGAAACTCACCGACCCGTAAGAAACCAACCCTAAGAAGAACCTGACCTAAAAAAACGTTTAAAACGATGAGGAGAGAATCAAGTTCTAAATGTTAAACTTTTGTTATGTGATTAGAATATATAAACGATGAGGAGCGAATCAAGTTCAATTTTGTTTATACGTTTTTAAGTATTTATAAATAATATTTTGAAATATATTACACTAAATCTAAAAACCGATTTATTTCCGATATATCTCCGATTAATCACCGCCGCACTGATTTATCGTGTGGCAGTCCCTAACCGCCTCGGCCCCGATAACCGATATTTAGAACCTTGCAATAAAATACATGTAGCTAGCTAATTTTGTCGACATGCAACTGCGACAAGAATGTGACAAATATTAATCACGTGCTGTTTGCCAGATCACATAATTTTGTTTAGGGTAGTGATATACGCAGGCCAAATTAAACATTCAGGCACTTTTTTACCATGATTTTTTACCTTTTTACCATAACTATTTACCTTTTGTACTATTCCTACCCAATTAAAAAAAAAAAAAAAAAAAAAAAAAAAAAAAAAATTATTCGAGCATTTCAACAGTGCTCATCTGATTTCACACGAGCACTGTTGAAATGCTCGCATGTTTTTGCCCGAGCATCTTATAATTCTATAAAAAAAATTATATAAAAAAAAAAAAAAAATTAATCTGCTCGGGTAAAAACACAC